TCGAAATATGTCGGATCGTGAAGGTAGGAAAGAAAATCTTACTTTGTTTGAACTACTCCAAATGTGTAGAAAAAACTGACATTCTTCAGGTGAGGACACCATCTTCACTAACTGAGAACAGTCTGTTGCAAAAGGTGGTTATTGTTTCTTATAATACATTATGAATCATAATCATGTCATTATGATAATTGTCATCATCACCATAAATGGTAAATAAGCAGAAATTAAGAAAGTGATTAAGCATTCAGAAAAGGATTTCACAAAAATAAATAACAGTCATAGTTTGACATGCACAATCACCGTAACCCTATAAGGGAAATAGGGCTTACGTGATCATGTAACACAAAAAACAATATAACTGAACAAAATATACATGTTTATCTCGGTACATTTTTATATGAGTGAGAATTGTAGTTATAAGTAGATCGAGCAATATATAGACATAGTCTGCATCTTATAGTTTAGGTATAGTTCGACATTATTCATATTCTGAGTAGTCATTCGAAAATACTATTTTAAATTTTATGACGATTTCAGATCTTTCTGGTGTAAAATAAAATGTGAAACTTTGAAAATAATTTTTTTAAAAAGGGATTAGTGACCTATATAGTACGTGTTCTAGAACACATTTTCATATTTGTGTAAAGACGGTTATTGATGCATCACTTAACTTAAGATTCAAAAGGAAATCCATAATAAATTGATGCATCCTTTAACTTAAGCAACAAGATCTTGAGATTCAAAAATCTCAATAAATGTTAATAGACTAACAATGTTTAATATCTTCTTTTTTTTTACATATGAATCAAAATATCTGATTAGATTTTTCTAAATTGATGCATCCCTTAACTTATTGCCATTATATTGAATATTGTTTTTATGGGAAGTCGAATGTTTTTATTTCCGAATTTAAAATAGCATAATATTTTTTGCTAACAATTTTGCTATGAAAATAATACAATTTTGATTTGTGCTTGATTAGTTTTTTCCAATTAAATTCAGAGACATGATCAATTAGGGATTCTAGACATAAATATTATCAATCATGAGATTATAAATTAATGCAAATTAGATGATCAATTTTTTCTTATAGACATAAATAATTTCTTCCCAAATTAGACGTTCAATTAGGGATTGTAGACATGATTTGTGGCATTAAACTCTTAATTTCCTAGAGAAGTTTATTTGCCTACAATTTATATTCGAAAGACTATATATATCTATACTATGCCTACAACTCCATCACAACCCAAACGATTCCAAAGTATCATTCAAAATGTACGGATTAAATTTCATATCTGACTTAAAACCAAATAAGTCACTATGGAAGATTAATGTGAAAGCCATTAGACTTTGGAAGCAATACTCAGCTGCTGGTGGAGAGACCATAGAAATAGCGTTTTATTTTCTTTTTCATGGAGATTAAATTCATGCATCAATAAAAAAAGGAACTGGTTTGTTTGAAGCTTTCTTCAGCCAAGAATGTTCTAAGCTGATTTTGAACTTCTCACTGACACCATTTTGTTGTTCATACCGGACAACAAACCATCCTAATAAGATTGGCTTTCTTCAAACAACCCGGGTCCAAAAATGTGATGACCTCCCAGAACATATCTCTGGGCTCCAGCCTGTTCAGTATGATTAGATCTTAAATGGAACACTCAATCCTGAATTTTTGGTTGGTACGTGGTCTTTTTTATATAACAAGCTTTTGAGATTAACATACTAACATGTTTTTGTTATTGTTGTTATCCCCGATGTTATTGGACAGATAGTCGAAGTCAGTCATGTAGAACTGGTTTCTATGAATGGCAAAGATATGCATATGTTATTGGACAGATTGTCTAATTCACTCTTTTTGAACCTAATGATGTTCCAGAAATCGATGCTTTCAGAAATAGTTATATATCATTTCAATTTGTAGAAAAGAGTAAATAAGTGTGTTTGGTTTGGTAAAGTTTTCATTGTTATTTCTCTCTATAGGATTGCAAACCAGGAATTTTGAAGATAATTTTCACATGATTTGGTGTTTTATATTTTATTACCAATGTTGCTTTAATGATTATCAAGTCATAATTTATTATTAATGCAATAATTCTATTTCCTATGTTTTTTTTCTTAAATTCATAATAAATTTATAAAAGTCTTTGCTTACTCTTATTTTTTTCATACAATATAATTCAATGCGCATATCCAATTACACTAACTTTTTCACAATCTAATTACATCTATAGGGTATGTGATAAACCTGCACATTATAGTAAGATATTTCATTGTTATCTAATATTTGTGACTTTTGAGTTTCTAATATCTAAAGATATTAGGTAATCATCTTTTTAAGTCACTCACTCCGCTCAGGGCACAAATTATCACTTAGTGACTTATTAAAAGTCATGAAATATATAACTGAGGGGGTTTTCTCACCCAAAACAGAGTTCTCGAATCACTAGACCAACATATATTTACAGTTATATTCTACATATTCCATATATATATATATATATATATCATCAGCTAAAAATAGAAAATATCTTTGAATTAATACTTTCCAATTTTGTTTTCGATTCTTATAACTTATTAGGTCTGAGCAACAGTGTGTGATATATAGGAATTTTGGAAGTATAGGGCATAAACATGAATATATTATTATGTGGATCATTTTTAAGTGTATAATTACAATGTAAGTCATTTTCTTCAACTGAAATTTGACACACTTTTTTCAATTAAAATCTATGTAAAAAGCTAAAGTTATATACGTCAATTTATTCAATAGTTAAATGATAACCAACTTAATTCAAAGTTTAAAATTCAAATCTCCCCTCTCTCACAACCTACTCTCCATTAATTAGATTGATAAAGTGTAATTCATGAGAGAGAGCTTGACTTGCAGACAGGGATGAACGAAAGAAGAAGATGAGATGCCCTTACGGAGATAATCATTAATACTTCCTCCATGCCAACACCATATCTCCTTCGTCGTCTAAAATCTTGGTGACAATGAGTTTGGCCACATGCTATGATTCTGAGGGAAAACAATGTTTCTTTCACGAGATGAGTTTCAACACATGAGCCATGCCAGCCCTTGCCTTTGTGATGTTATGGGTTGATGGAGATCGAGTTACGTTCTAATGGAGTCCCATCAATGCTATGCCACTTTGTCCCAAAAATCGGGAATTGAAGATTATGTCAAATAAATAAGAATGTCACTTAGAAGATGAGTTTCTTTCGTCATTCATCTTTTTATGCAGATTTGATCTAAGAATCTAAAATTTCATGCAAAACTGAAACTCTAGGATAGCTGTGGAAGAAGACAAACAACTTTTGATAATGTCATTGATAAGTTACGAAAACAAAGAAAAAAAATCACTTACATAGATTCAAACCTAAGTGTGGAAAAAGTAAACAAACAGTGATCTCTGTCGTCGCTACACATCAGAGAGAGTCTGTCACATGAAATGTTTCATCTTGTTCCGAGCTTTAGTTTTCCACACATAGCCGGATCTGTAAGCCTGTGATATTCGGTTCCAAACATGGTATTGTATGAGTTGCAATTTGGTTGATCTAAATAGCTCATATCTAAATTTGACTGAGTATACTTCTGATTTCGTGTGGTTTCAAACCTATTCATTGAAGGATAGCAAGTGAAAACCCCAATGATCAAAGGTATGTCCTCAGGTGAAAAAAATCCCGTAAAAGATGAAGATTCCACTCCTTGGTATCATTTCTAATAAAGAAATGAACAAGCTAAGTAGTGGAATAATCTGTAAACAATGTGGTATGCGGCTCTAGGTGGGCGAGCAACTAAATTTAGGGTCTAAGGCTCAGTCCAAATCCTCGTATCACGACTTGATCCAATGGTTTTACGCAAACCCAAATTTAGTAGTTTTTTCTGCCATGATGTTACGTCATCCATATGATGGTAAGAAAATTCTCCGGTTAGGAGAAGAACGATTGTAGTACCTTCCCTTCGAAATATGTGCTAACAAAGATGACAAATCTTGAATTAGTCTTCACAAACTTTTTTCAAAAAGTATTATACTGAAGTCATGTCTCCCCATATTGTTAGGGATGCATATCTTATCCCATATAATCTAAAGTAAGTTTCTACTGTTTTTCTTGTGCTCCACCAAAAATTTATCAATAATTCCTTGTGGGATCACAAATGTTAGAACTACTTTAGGCACATATTTTATTTGGACTTTTTCCCTCCCCCCCCCTCCCCTTCGATAAAAGTCGTGTTGGCCATGTGTTGGTGCGTCCATTGATTCGATTATATGCAAAGGAAAAAAAATCTTTCATCTACAAATATGTTCGGGAAAATCCTGAATACATTCACATGCCTCCTTCAGTAGAAATTCTAAGGACAATTTTTAAATCTTGTTTCAAAGAAATATTACCTCAGTTCCAAAAAACAATAGAGAATTTTTCCACATAAAGTCTTTGCTTAGATGTTTTCCTATAGATATCTAAAATTTTCATAATTTTTGTACATGGCTCACTTTATGATTAGTAGAAAACACTATCAACTACAAATAGAAGGTAATTAAAACTCTTGGGGTTCTCTCTAACATCCGAAGTCTCAGAATTCACTTTTCAGTTGCTGTTCTGTTCAGGAAGGAAACTAGTGCATCCGTGCAAAAGATCAAAAAAAAAAGATATAAATTATTTGTTTGTGACGTTTTTTTTATAAGATTTGCTCTACATACACAAGATAATAGTTTTATTTTTTAGTTTCTGATCATAACAACATAATGACATTTAAAAAAAAAACAATACAAATTTTAACAGTTAGTTCAAAATTTTCTTAAAGAAGTATGAAAACTGTTCATGGATGTATAAAACTGTTTTCCCAGTTGACTGGATAGAAAGTACAATTTCAATACGTCCGAGGTCGTTTATTAATAATTCGTAAAGTTAGTGGACTCAATAAAAATATAACTCACGCGTCTTGGAATAAATACATTTAACGCGGCGGCGGGGCGAGGTCACACACGCAGTGCCCTAATTTCAGCGGGAGAAGGAATTGATCAAACTCTCGAGGAGGGCTTTAGCGAGATGTCGTACGACGATGTGGAGATAGAGGATATGGAGTGGAACGAAGAGATCCAGGCCTACACGTACCCTTGCCCATGTGGCGATTTGTTCCAGATCACGAAGGAGGATCTGCGTCTCGGCGAAGAGATCGCCAACTGCCCAAGCTGCTCTCTCTATATCACCGTCATCTACAACATGGAGGATTTTCAGAACGACACCAAGAAGAATAATCAACCTAAAAGTAGCCAAGCCGTCGCCGTCGCCGTCGCTTAGGTGAATCTTCCAATCCGATTTTCAGATTCATTTTTTTCTGCTTAGACGTAATTAAGTTTTCCTTTTGCAATTAGTGGTCTAAATGAATAGACTTGTTGTTGAAGTTAGCAGTTTCAGAACTGTAGTATATTGTTTTTTCTTCGAGTACTGTGTTGGTGTGCTTTTTAGTTTTGTTTGCACTAGATTAGTTATGTGAGAATTTGCTACTTCTTTGCAGATTGTGATGGAATCTATTAGAAGATTGTTCAAGAGCATCACAACCTGTGGTGCAATAGTTTCGGAGATCATGTGAGTGTGTCACCATTCTTAGATTCAGGGTTGTATACTAGCCACCATGTTCTGCTCATGTATGATTATTGAACCCATTTCTTGGTGTTGTCTTACACATTTGGATCCGATATATTTATTTAGAATTGATTGGTTTGAAAGAGGATTGCACGGCTACATTGCCTTTTTCTTTTCTTGGGTCGTTTGGAGTTTGAGATTTTCGAGGAAGCAGAGTGATAAAACACAGCTTTATCACCAATTATACTTACTTTTTCTCAGCTGGACTTTTGGTAGGTTAGTGAGTAGGATTTTGACTATTGAGATCCAAAACAAAGAGATGTTTAGTGTGCTAAAAACCTTCTAATAGTCTCTAACTCTTGGGACATCTCCAATCCTATTCCATTTTCTACTTTAAACATCATTTGGAGTAAAATCTTTTCCAACCCCATTCTATTTTCAACTCCAAAATAGAGTAATGGTTAGGATTACTCTATTTATGGAATAATCTCACACATTACTCCATTTTGGAGTTGGACTTTTATTTATTTATTAAATAGTCCTTTAACTCTCTAATGTTCTTTTTCTTTAATTAAATACTAATATTTTTAAAAGATACAATAACCTGAAAACAAGATATTTTATTATTTAATAATTTGACATAAGAATGCATGGCATAGTTAACAACATAAATAATATTAAATAAAAATAAAATAATATAATTGATTTAATATTTTGGCAAATCGGTTTTGGATCCGTTAAGATTGGTAAAGTGTTGTTCAAATTGAGAAGATTGATAAAGAGCTTGTTGATCTTGTGACTCAGCATTTCGTTTTGATATTATTTGCACTTGTTGAATTTGAATATACGCACGGACATTCGGATCTTGTATATACTCAAATCACAAAACAAAATTTTGTTTTTTTCTTTCAGTGCATTATTTTGTTTTTGACTTTTCATATGGTGCCATCCTTTATACACTTTACTTCTTTAATTATTACAAGAGTTGTTTATTTCCTTCTTTTAAGGATTTTATAACCGTTGATGTTTGATTATCAAGTTTTCTTTTCATTTTGATTTTTTCACCCCACTTGGACGTTGAGAGGAAGATCCATTGATAATCTCGTTGTCATTGTCTAAGTTTTGAGAAAATAAAAACAAACCTGAAAATACTTATGTTGGAGAATTAATGACATGATCATTAGGAGAGGTGGCACCATCCATAAACTTTACAAAGTTTTTAATCGTATTCCAAACATGATCAATTGTGGATCTTCTTAACATTAGTTTGACTTGGTTAAACTGCATATCATTAAGAATAAAATTAATAATTTGACAAGATTAACAAATTTATAAATTATAAAGTAATACTTACAATACCATTGTTCGAAACACTAGTAGGACGTCTATTATCGCAGTGTGTGATAAGTTTTTTTGTTGTTTTCTCTATAGTTTGAATTCGAGATTGGATAAATCTTTTTGTACGTTCACACGGTCACACCAAGTTGTCTTCCTTCCATTTTCATAACCTTTCATCACACGAGACCAAAACATATCAGAATACTGGTATGAACCTTTAATTGAATCTTGAGAAATCTTATATAATAAAATTGAGTTTTTTCCATTTTTCTTGTGCCACATCATCAAAGAGGGTGTGGTAATTTTAGACACGTCAGCAATATTGTTTTGTGTATTTTTCCTTCGATTTCGTTGGTGGACTTTATTGGGCTAGGTTTACTCTACTTGAGTCTCTGAAAACAAATCAACGAAATTAAGCCCAATTTATTCCTTCCATCTAACCTAAGGGAGCCCCCTTTTTTCTTTTATCTTTGTAGCTATCGACGTTTCTGGCTTTTCCACTTCTTCCATTTTATTTTCCCAGTAGTATTGATCCCATGCTTCGCATGGTAACATTTTTTCAATAAAAAGACCAATTTCAGTTTTATATGACTACAAATGTTATGTATAAAATAACTTCAACTTGTGAAGAAGATGTTTTTATCGAGAACAAAAACTTCAAACATTAAGAATATATAAAGTCGTTGGTGTATTTGATCGTATCTCTCTCTATTATTCCTTTCAGTCCCAAAATGCAGTAAAGTTGTAAAAGTAAATTTTATCAATGTGTACTAACATATCAAACACCTAAAAGAAACATTATGTATTGCAGTGATATAAACATGAACCTGCTAATGTATATCTCTGTTAATCCTTTGACTTTAATAAACTTTCCCATGGTATAGTTATCTTAATGCTTTATGTCATTTTCGCCCCTACAATCATACATTAAGCATTTTTTATTACTTAATATCTGAGACATTAAACTAAAGAAAAAAAAGTATTACCGTTTAAATGTTCACCATAGTAGATCAAATGATGTTTTCAATTTACATTTTGATGTAAAACTTATTGTACAGTAAGAAAACAACTTCAACAACATGATCATTTGGTGGTAAAGTAATGGAAGTGCATTTACCTTTTATCAAAGCCGTTTTTCTAAGTCTATAACTTCTGCATCTGCATTTGTGTATGCTCTCTATCCTTCTCATCTTTATTTTTATTTTTCGTCCTAAGACCTTTTTTTCTTTGGATCCAATCTCCACCAATTCAGATCCACCATATCCATTATTTCTCGAACTTTCTTAACCCTAAACCGGTTTGTATGCTCCAGTAAAACCAACGAAACCGTACAAAGAAGGGAGATGGCTCTCAGAAATAGTGTTTATTGATTTTTTTTTTTTTTTACTAATCACTTAAGCACTGACTCGGGACACATTCCAAACGACCGCAGGTCCTTCATGTTCTGTTTTTGATCAATTAAGAGTTTATCTGATATTTGTTTATCCAATCTGTAATATATTAAGAACATGGAAAATAAAAAGATAGTGGGCAAGGAAAAAGGATAGTGGATTAGTGGGTTTGTAGATTGCGTTGAAATACAATTATATGGTTCAAGTTTTTTTTAAGCATGCATTACCTCTTATTTAATTGAATTTTTAAAAGAAAATTGTAAATCATTTGTCACTTGTCAAATTTTAATTGGTAGAGTGACTTGTGCTTTAGTATATAGGGGATTAACTTAAACCATTATTTCATTCAGTCAAAACAAAAACAGCTTAACTCTCATCACCCTTCCACTTCCCAATCCCATCCTATATAGGATGATGTCGCCATATGAAAACCCACACTGCTCAAGCCACCACCAAGAAACCACCTTACCACATTGGCTATATTCTTGTAGTTCCACAGTTACATGTGAAGAATCTTATGTCGCAGGAGAAGCGGCTGGTTTGTTTTCCCCATAGCTAATACATGGTCATGATCGTGAGGATACAGTCGATCCTAAGCCCCTAGGAAGACGATAACTACTGGTACTCTTTAACAGTTTCTACAGTCGATTTTTTTCTCATTTATTGTGGTAGTTGATGGTTCTGTTTACCTAAAATATGATATGCTATGTGATTTTACTTTATTTTTTAGAAAGAGCCACTTTCACTACAAGAAAACACGTCCTTTACTAGGACGGGTTTTCCTCGTTATTTCCTAGTAAAGGGCCCTTTACTAGGAAATAGCGAGGAAACGTGTTTCGTCGAAAGACGTTCATCGTAAAGGCTATTTTCCTCGTAAAGGTCTAGCTAATTTACGAGGAAAGTTTTCCTCGTAAAGCCGTGGAAAACATTTCCTCGTAAGCTCCACGTATACTTTCCTCGTAAGGGCGTAGTAAAGTACTTCCTCGTAAACTCGTAGTAGACACTTTACGAGGAGTTTGCTAGGAAAGTTTACGAGGAATTTACCTCGAAACCTTTACGAGGATTTTACTTCGAACCTATTTTTTCCTATTAAAAAAAATAATTATAAATGAAAATTATATATATTTAAAAAAATTAAAAAAATAAATAAAAAAATATTTATAAATAACTAATAATATACAATAATAAGTTTTAAAATTCATAATATACAATGAAAAACTAAAAAAAAACTAAAAATGATGCTGGTCTTGATCAAATTGGTTCACGAAGTCGTCT